CATCGTCACGCTCCCACGCGACTTGATTACAGAGGATGTTCTAATTGTCTTTTTTGATGAACTAACAACGGTGTATAAGCCATCAACAGTTTGGACACGATGGTCTATGCTGCGTACAACGCTATCACTTATAAATGGTATTCAGATTGGTGATTTTGACAAATTGAAATATATGTTGAAAAGATTCTCGAAAGATCATAAGTCAAAGAAAGCTAAAGCTTTTACAAGTAATGAGGTGAAGAAGTTCTTAGAAAGTGCTGATGACAGGATCTATCTGGTTTTAAAGATCTTTTTAGTATAATCATTAATTGTTTATAATAATTTTGAAAGTATTGATAATTTATCAGTACTGTCAGGTAATGTTGATTTTTGGAATCTGTGGTGCGTTAAGCAGTATAAAGTTAGCTGTAATCCAGATGATTGACGTCAGTACACATTTAAAAGTGTATATCACGGACACCAAAAATAACTACCCAAGATATCTTATAACTGCGTCACCTTACTATGAAATTGTCGAAAAATATCGTTCACTACGGCCAGACGATTTTACAGAAGACAGATTTTTTATTCAATATGCCAATGGCAAGTGTTTAAAACAAGTTATAGAATAATACCAAATAGCTGAAGGACCTGCAATAATTACATGTTTTTTTTGTTCAATTTAGCAACTGCAGGACTGTATACTGGCCATTCTTATCGTCATACTGGTGCAATTTTGTTATCTAAGTAATCCAGGTGCAGTTTTACAACGAATAAGAAACCTTTGTGGATGGAAATCTGATGATGTGTCTCAACAATGTATTAAAAATTCTGTGATCACAAAAGAACAGAATTTTGAAGGAATTTCGGGATCAAATATTTTATCAGAAAAACAGCGATTGACAGATATTCAAAACCGTGAGTCTATCTACAGTTATTTTAGATTCTCCAGAACCCGATCAAATCAATCTAAATGTTCGACCAAAAAAACGAAAACTTGTTTTTTTTAACAGTCAGTACATACCCTTACGGGTTAGTACACTTGAATATAAAAAAAAGAAGTCAGAACAGATTAGGAAGATGATCAGTATGGATCATTTAATTTGAGTAATTGTCAGCATTTCACTGTCAATATTAATATTAATAATTATTGATGTGAATATACTTGCATTAAAAAAACTCAATTCATGTAAAGAAATTTCTTATATTTATTATACAAATTAATTCAATGCTTTGTCAAAGTCAAAAATAAGTGTAAAAATGTAAATAAAGACATTTA